CCAATGACGTCACTTCTGATGTCACCAACGTCTCCATCCCCAATGACGGCATCTCTGATGTCACCAATGTCCTTGACCAGAAAAACTGGGACATCGCTGTCCCCAGTGATGTCACCTCTGATGTCACTATTGTCTGGGACTGGGACTGGGACATCGCTGTCCCCAATGTCCCCATCCCCAATGACGTCACCTCTGATGTCACCAACGTCCTCGACCGGACAAACTGGGACATCCCTGTCCCAAACATCCCCGTCCCCAGTGACATCATCTCTGATGTCACCAACGACCCCCGGGACTGCGACATCTTTGTCCCCAATGATGTCACCGACGTCCTCGATCAGATGAACTGGGATGTCCCCGTCCCCAACGACGTCACCTCTGATGTCACCAACGTCCCCTGGGACTGGGACATCGCTGTCCCCAGTGACATCACCTCTGATGTCACTATTGTCCCCCGGGACTGGGACATCCCCGTCCCCAACGTCCCTCAGGGTCGGGACATCCCTGATGTCCTTGTCCCCGATGTCGCTCGGGATGGTGACATCCCTGTCCCCAACATCCCCAGTGATGTCACCTCTGACGTCACCAACGTCCCCTGGGACTGGGACATCCCCGTCCCCAACGTCCCCAATCGCCTCATCCCTCAGGGTGGTGACATCCCTGTCCCCAAGAACTGGGATGTCCCCAATGTCCTCGACCGGATGGGAGGTGACATCCGTGTCCCCGATGTCCCTCGGGGTGGTGACATCCCTGTCCCCAAGAGGTGGGACATCCCTGTCCCCAAAATCTTTTGGAGTGGTGACATCCCTGTCCCCAACATCCCTCAGGATGGTGACATCCCTGTCCCTGACATCTTTGTCCCCGAGATCTGGGATGTCCCCAACGTCCTTGACCAGATGGGTGGTGACATCCCTGTCCCCAGTGTCCCTCAGGATGGTGACACCCTTGTCCCCAACGTCCCTGAGGGTGGTGACATCCCTGTTCCCAACGCCCTTGACCGGATGGGTGGTGACATCCCTGTCCCCAAGAGGTGGGACATCGCTGTCCCCAAAATCTTTTGGGGTGGTGACATCCCTGTCCCCAGCGTCCCTCAGGATGGTGACATCCCTGTCCCTGACATCTTTGTCCCCAAGAACTGGGACGTCCCTGTTCCCAGCATCCCTCAGGGTGGTGACATCTTTGTCCCTAATGTCCCTCAGGATGGTGACATCCCTGTCTCCAGGAATTGGGACATCCCAGTCCCCAACGTCCTTTGGAACGGTGACATCTCTGTCCCAAATATCCCATGGGATGGTGACATCCTTGTCCTCAAGAGCTGGGACATCCCTGTCCCCAGTGTCCCTCAGGGTGGGGACATCCCTGTCCCCAGGAGCTGGGACATCCCTGTCCCCAACATCCTTGTCCCGAAGGGTTGGACCATCCCACTCGACAGTGTCCCTGTCCCCGACGTCCTTCAGGGTGGTGACATCCGTGTCCCTGATGTCCTCCATGTCCCTGACGTCCCCGGTGTCCCCATTCCCGACGTCTCCGGTGGCCCCAGTGTCCCCATTCCCGATGTCTCCAACGTCTCTGGCGTCCCCATTCCCAACGTCTCCGATGTCCCCATTCCCAGTGTCCCCATTCCTGG